GAGTTCACTATTATGCTTCCGTCAACTTCATTCAATATAATTTACATTTTTTTTCAAATGGCCTCACAGGATTCCTTGCGATTTTTCGCACGTACAATTTCACAGCAGGGAAAAGGGGGAAAGAGAGAGAAAGAGAGAGAGAAAGCAAGATTCCCTACCCTCCCTTCCCCCTCTTCTTCTTTTCTCTCTCTCCCTCTGTTTTTTAAACCAAAAAAAAAAAAAAAACAGGAGAGACAGAACAGATGCTTAAAAATAGATTTCTAAAAATCACTGTAAACCAGAGTTAGAAATGTAATTAACACCTATTTATAAAGAATAATTAAAGTTGGGCCGGCCACAAAGAACAGCAAAGATAATCGAGGTCCTGTCCTCCCCCCCTTTTTTACACTGTTTGCAGTGTGTTCTCATGATAGCCACCTGCTCCCTACTCGGCTTTTCCTCTGTTCGTTTCCCCGGCAACCTTTCATTGGGTTTTCCTCCCAGCTATCGCTTTCAGTTGGGCTGCTCGGTCTAATCTTATTTGTTTTACACCCATCAAAACAAGCAGCCAGACAAAGGCAATCCTCTAAGAATGGGAAAAAGACCACAGCTTTGTTATAACATCTATGCAGAGCGAAAAGTCCTCCCCAGGCTTTTCTAGCAAAAAATAAGTGAGATGGATATGAATTTACAGCCTCCCCACATACCCGGCTTTGAAACCCTGTGAAAGCTATTGCTGGTGAAATTCAAAGTCAAAGTGGGCACTCGTGGCATCTGATTGTGCCATTTTGTGCCATATCTTCAGGGTCAGCATCAGGCGACAGGAGCGGCACTCAAGGAGTTTCCCTGCTTCTTTTTTTTTTTTTTTTCCGAAAAAGATGACGCTAAAAATAGATTTACTACTTTGGCAGAAAGGTTTTCTACTTCCCATTCCACATCCCAAAGTCCTGTTTCACAATTGCATCTGCTGGTACTGAACCTCACCTCCTCCACCCCTCATACCCAGCCTTCCCCATCACTCCTAGCAGGAGACTGAAAAAGAAATGTGCCTTTAACTTTAACAGTCATGTAATTCTGCTGAAAGCTCACAGAGGCGGTGGACACGCCAGCCAACAGCAACGGTGACATTGTGATTGTCAAAAAAGACACCAACCTTGCTTGGCTAAATGTGTGTTCGATGGAAGAGGCAGTGTGTGTGCCTTGTGTGCATGCAGTGGCATTACACTTGGAGATGGATTCTGGCTTTCAGAAAAGAGAAATACTAATAAACACACACACACACACGATCTGCACAGTGATTCACGATGCACAGTCCATCATCCTTACACACACACACACACACACACGCACACACACGGCTGGAATCTCCAAGCTGCCTTCCTCTGAATTTTCACTTACCATCTTCAAGCCATTCCACTCCATCTGTGATCAGAAGAAGATGGACCCTCACACAGTGTGTCAAAAGCGGAAAGGAACGTTATGTAAAAGCTGACATTCCTTCTTACAGAGCTGCTGCCCAGAGAAGGAAGCAACAACTCAACACGCCAGGCACCGCTACACATACAAGCCGCCTCCTCTTTTTTATGAGGTCATGACAGGAAACTCTTTGAAATACAAGATGCAGCATTTACTGAAGCCCAAATAAATCACTCTCTTTGCCGTTCTGACTGCGCAGTCCCCCAAAACACAACTGCCCATCTCAACGTTCAGTATCCAGGAACTGCCTCTCGATCTTTAAATTTCCAGGACGGAAATGGAGATTCCTAACCCCGCTGCATCCACCTCCAGCCCCACAAAACCCAGGCACACAGACAAACCCCCTCTCCCTTACAAAAAAAAAAAAAAAAAATCCCCTTTCTGCCAATATGGTCTCGTGTAATATAACCTCTTTCAACAAACCAGCAATTATTTCTGCCCACCTCCCCTCTACACCAACCCCTCCTTTATGTTGAAGGGAAAACTGACAATGACCTGTTAAAAATGACAATCCATTTCCCCACTGCTTTTCAATAAAAGGACCTACCGGCACTCTCTACACAAAAGAGATAGTAAATGTAGGAACCAAACAGCAGCAGAGAACTAAACTCTTGTGCAAGCATAAGACTGGTCAAGGTGTAGATGCTTTTCTTCCCTCCAGCAACACAAACAACAGATTATAAATCTAGTCATACCTACCATAACCATTCTTATTGGCAAATATTGGGTCTCGCAGAGCTTCGACTCTTCTCTTAAAATTTGCAAAGGTTTCAGGATATATTTTTTTAAATGACTACTATTGTTATATATATTTAAAGATCCACAAAACACAGTGTGGATGATTGTAAAGTAAATCAATTATTTGGGGGGAGGGGACGGGGGGGGAGAGAAAAAAAAAAAAAGAAAGAAAAGGAGCAGTGAGCTGAAACCCCCGATTCTAGGATGTAGATAAGAACAACTGAACAGAGCCTTGCTGAAATTGGCTCGAAGCTTCCCCTTTTTACATCCATTTATGGGACCATCTGTCAGCCGAAGCCAGGATCTGATTGGCTGGGGAAACGAAGGGAGGCGTTGCAACATCAGGTGCTATTTAAATTAGCTACTGCCAGATTGACGATGTTAATGATTTGGTGACCTCTACAACAACAGAGACCAGATTTCTGAACTGCTTCTTGTGTCTGGTAATTAAGGCCAGGCTGAAGCAACAACAGCCATACTTGTATTTTTACCTTTTCTCTCCTCCTAGCTCAAAAGTACTGTAACAACTGCAGGTCATCAGCCGGCCGCTTGCAAACCTTACCAGTGGGAGTGTCCTCCCTTTCCCCCCGTCCTGAAGGCTGCACCACCAAACCCCTTTGACAGAGGGCTTTTCCAGTACAGAATATTTTCAAGCACCTTATCTTTCTCGACAGTTGCTTTCTAGCGAAATGCATATTTAATGATCTGCCTCTAGGCTTAAAGATACAACAAAAGCACTTTAATGTGCTGATACATCTACATTTTAACTTTATTATTTCCTAATATTGCTGATTTTTAGGAAGTAATGCTCATTCTGCAGCTAACATGGCCAGCGTTTCAAGAGAAAACAAGTTTGAGATTGTGTTTGCTCCGCGAACTGGGTTCCTACAAGTTTGCTTCAGAAACCTACTTGCTAAAAAAAAAAAAGAAAAGAAAAAAAAGCTGGGGGGAGGTGGGGGGCAGCTGTCAGCCTCACCTTTCTGCCTTCTGTCTGAGCTTTTCAAAACAGAGAATGATGAATGATTTATTTAAATGAATTTATTTCTCAACTTGGATAGGGGCATGATCTGAATTTTTAAAAATGCACTAAAACACGTTCTCTCTTTGCTTTCCCCATGCTCTAAAGAATGTAAAGCATGCTTTTGACAACAGCATCATTTCATGACTGGTGCAGAGTGCATATCTTGCTGAACTGAACTCGTGATTTTGCTTCTCTCCTTCAAAAGATGTCTTTTTTCTTTGGTCTCTTAAAAGACTTGCAAAGAGACATTTAGCAAGTGTGTCGTGATGTACACAGTTTGCATACCTATGTTTTACATTTCATAACCTCTACAATACCAGTCTTCAATAATGTAGTATTTTGTTCTGGTTTGGGTTTTAAAGGGGCTTACCTGAGGAGTTTTTGCTTTACTTCTATCCAAAAAGCTAACTTACCGCTATTTATTTAATTCATAACTTAGTCAATTGGTTCCTCAATGAATACATAGAGGTAACAAATATTACTAAAGAAATAATTCAACATAATTTTAAATCTTTGGCTGGAGTTGACAGGAGATGGGACTGGGCAGAATAAAAATATAGACCGAAAATCATGCTACACTCTGGGCTTCAAGTCCAAGAATAGATGTGTCTGTGAAAAATTATTAGAAAAGAAAATAACCTTTGTGTTAAAAAAAAATAAAACTATTCTCTCCAGCTACTATTTCACAAACACACACACATAAATATACATAGATATGCACACTTTTAAAAATACAGATATACCACAAAACAAAATGGGTTGGGTACACTCTGTGGAGAATTAGACTTGAATATAAATACATTCAGCTGTTAGAAATAAAAATCCATGAAATAGAAAAGTAGAAATGTTAAAACTATAACCCCTTCGAGTGGAACAAGACTGAATTAAGTAAACTTTTAAAATAATTTCTCTAGCAAATATACAAAGAGTCCTACCGAGTCACAATAGTACTACAGTATCTGTTGAACTGTGTTCTAGGGATGAATTCATAGGTTAAGTGTTCTAAAGAGCTCAACATACAGACACAGGGCAGATACAGGTGCCCCAAATCAATGACAGAAACTCTGAGTGTGATCTCCCCAATACGGAAATATTGTGAGAAGAAAACCATGAACACAATGCTGACAAACACACAAATGAAAACAGCTCGCTCCAGAACAAAATATTTACTTTGTTTTTCTCTGGAGGTTAGAAAAGTCAGAATTTCTTAAAACCATTCTCCCCCATCCATACTAATCTCAGCACACTTCATGAGCCATTAATTACCATTAGGTATATCCAAAGATGTTCTGGCCACTCTTCTGAAACAGGAACTGTATATTACAGTATAAATAATTCGCTGGTTTTGCCAGGTTAAAAAAAAAACAAAAAACCATGCACTTTGTATATTGATCACTTCTCCAAAAAACCTCCACTCTAAAGTCTTTCAATGGAATCCTCAAACAAATGCACAAATGTCCTCAGAGGCCTTTTCTCTAAAGACAAAGGCAGAATCCTATTGTTGGGAAAAGTCAACCTTATTATTGCATTTCCAATAGTACCATTCATCTTTCAGAGTGAGGGGCTGACCGCTCCATCAGTGGTGTGACATTTGTAAAGCAACAGATTCTCAATATATTATCTCAAGAATCAGGCAGGCAAGTCTCCCAGTCATGCATGATTTTTTTTTTCCTGCCACAATCCTCCACCACCACAGAAAGAAACTTGTCTCACTCAGGCAGCTAAGCCAACCTAAAAATGATATCCCAAAGCTGTGGGGCTGCTAGCGCCGCTGTATCCCTCTTACCATAAATGAGCAGTTTCTTGACTCATTAATAACAATTTCCCTTAAAAGAAGGAATCTCATATCGGTCAGCCCCTTGCCACCATGCACACATCCCAAAGGTTGCGGACATGTCAGCATCAGTCGCCGGCAGCCAGCTTTCCCACACAGAGTCCAGATGGACTGTACCAGAAGCCAATTCAGCGTTAATAACTACCTACTCCGCGCAGAGGAGAAGCCTTACGTGGCACAATGGGCTAGGAAACAGCAGCCAGCTGAAACTGCAAATAAAAAAGACAAACCAAATTCTCCAAAAGCACCAAAAGGAAGGAACAGAAAGGGAAGCGTGAACTGTATTCCTTGACTTCCATGAAGAAAAAAAAAGAAAAAAGAGAAAAGAAAAAGAAAAAGAATCCTTCATAAACATGGGGGGGGGGGGAATGAGGGGGGGAAAACAGATGCTGCCCAGAAAAAAGTGACAAAATATTACCTCATTATTTAACAAAGCAGCATTAAGCGTCCTGCTGATTTCAAACATCTTGCCACAGATTTTGTTTTAAGAGAAACAGATAGAATCCTTTGCAAAGCACTCCGTCTGCAAAGGGTTCTTCAATTTTCTTGTGCGCCACGGAACAGTCAATATATTATTTCCCTAGAGTTCGCACATTAAAACCTCTAGTCAGTGAGCTGAATTTTCCCCTTATCTCACACACAGTAGACTCCTGTTACATGTACTGCTCTCTTTTGCAAGAGCAGCCTGCCCCAAACATGGCTGGTGTTAAACTACTCTTTAAAGTAACAGTTCACTATATAACCACCAGGTGGGTAGAGTGCACAGATTCAAATGAACCATCTTAAAGGATTGTGTGTTGTTGTTTCTCCTTTTAGGTGTAGAATGTAACACCAGAAACTCCAGCATCCTAACAGGCTTCGTGTCTTGTATCTCTCTGTATCTTGTCAAAATAAATAAATAAAATTTCTTCTCCTGACTTATAGCGAGGAAACAAAACAAAACACCATCACCAATCCTAATAAGAACTGTGAAGAATGAAACACAAACACGCTTTGTTTCATTCAGCAAAGGATGAACATGGAAAATCCAATCAACACAGAGCAAGGCAGGGGGTGGAGGGGTGTACCAAAAACTCCATGGAAATATTTTCCTTTAGCAAAAAGAGAAAAATATTGACTCACGTGATAAAAACCCAATTCAAAAGTAAACATATGGACGAAGCACATACAAGATGGAGGCAAGAGTTTAAGGGTGCAACTTTTCTTCTGAGTAAAGCATTAGGCTTATTTGATAGGGTCTGTCATGATAGGAAATAACCCAACAGCTTTTTAAAAGACACTGAAAAAAAAATCTTAAGCATCTCTTTTAAAAATGCAATTATACGAATAGCTATAAACAACCACAAGAGCAAAGTAATCATATATCTCTCCCCAGTCCTGTTCTTTTTCCTTAAGATCTGCCTCAAAGTGGAACATTTCTGTCCTATGTTATTTTGGGTATATAGCTAACTTGGTGTCTCCTTTGTACAATTCTATTCCAATTAATCTGCTCCTGTGCCAGGAATAAATAGAATGTCCCAAGCTGAAAACCCCAAGTGATGGAGGGTGGATGTTCAAAGATAAAGAACGACCTGGACAAAAATAAATCTCATCCCTTATATTGTTCTATGGCCTGATTTTAAGGAGGATTTTATTACAGAGCGTGCATCCACTCTTCTACGTTCCCTCGTATCTAAAAGAGAAACCAACACACACAGATACCTGGGATTTTGTTTCCTTGGCCAGACAAAATTAAAGCCCCGAAACTTCCACATCCTCTTGCAAACACAGATGTCGAAACTAGTATTTTTCCAGTCCATCCAGGCAATATTTAGCCACACACAACAGTGACTGTCTTCTTCATCTTTAAGTCAAGGCTGCATCACTTAATACCATTTAACCTCCTCGCATATATTAAGTTTCAAGTGACAATTTTTAACTGGGGAATGAGAAGGAGGAGTTGCTCTCATCAAATTCTGGTTGTATGAAATAAGCTAATTTGTACACTCACCATATGTCTTAAACACTAATTAAAAAATGTCACTTTCTTCAAACATTAAAATGTAATCAGCCTAGTAAATAAAATATTCTCAAGTTTTCTTCCCTTGGTGATAATTTAAAGAGTGTTTATCTCAAGGTAACCTCTCTATTTTGATTACCAAGAAAGGCTTTTGATTTGAAAAGGGAAAAAAAGGAGATATTGGGGGCTTGGGGAGTGAGAAGAGAAAACCACAACTGTACATAGCTGCACAAAGGAAAATAAGATGAAGCGGGGTTTTAAGGACCATAGTCTTGTTACCCTAAGGCAAATCCAGCCAATCAATACCACCCATTGACGGTCTACCATCTGCCGTGCTACCCAGCGATGTGGCTAAACAGACCTGTTCCATATGACCGTAGCCGGCTCATTTTCAGTCGATTAGGGCAGTTCCAGAGCATTCACGTGCAATAGCACAAAACTCCAAGTCTGACTGAGCCTCTCTCTTCACACCAGTCCCTCCCAGCACAGCTGCAGACCTTTTCCTCCTGTTCTGGGTGTCTGGATTATCTCTTCTTGCCCCTCAATGGAATTAGCAAAATAGGGTGGGAAGGTAGAGCAAACAGACACACACACACACACACACACACAGATAATTGCTGGCCCTTCTTCACTGTCATGCAGAAATCGGGAATTCCATGTGCTCTGCCCTAATATGATTATGGCACACCATTTAAATAGCATCATCAGTGTCTATGACCTGACATTTTCCTGTAGTGCTATTTCTTTTTATCTTCTCCCTCTTCCCTTGAAAACTAAACCTAAACTGCTGGCATTTCTGTCTTTAGAGAAAATACAATCAGTATGCCCAGACAATGGTATACTTATTTAAGGATTTTTGATAAAACGTAAAGCCTAATTTTCCTTCGATGAATTGTGGTATTGGTTTTGTTTTTTGTTTTTTTCCTATGAAAACCATTAAATCAAATTTTATAGGAAAATGCAAACTTACCCCACAGAGGCAAGAAAGATGCACCAGACTGACACGGACTCTACTGGAAGGATCGGGAATGTACTGTCGAGGTTCTCTTAGAGATATATGACCTGACCATATGATGCTTTTCTCTTTCCTAAGTAGTTTCATCTACTATGGATTGCAGGAAAGAGCTACAAGAATGCTACTCTGTGGGAAAATGTGACAAATGGATGTCTAGTCCACTTAACATTGCCAAGAGTTCACCTGTGCAGGTAAACTAACCTCCAGGTGGATTCAAACTTGATCTTCCTGTTTTCTTTCCATGCTTCTGAGCCTTACATAGAATAGCAGCTGAAAGCAGAAGGTTTCTTTCCAGAATCAATGTACACTTTTTCAAAAGTGCCTTTGACCATACCCTTAAAGCACGAGGACATCTTTCTGGGAAAGGAAATTTAAAGGACAGGAAAACTGCCTGACTTACAAAATTCTGAAAAAGGTAAATACACATTTATCAAAAAAAAAAAAATCTAATTTAGGTGGAGTCCCTGTCTGGACTTTTCACTGTTATATTCTTCATCATAGCCTATGAAAACTCAGTAGGGTCAATGTGCAAACACACGGAGATTTCCGAAGATCCCTGCTTTAAGGGATTTGAGGCATTTCCATTTCAGTTCAGATAAGCTTCACTAAAAATTAAAAAAAAAAACAAAAAACCTTAGTATAAATATAAATCTTTACAAATCAAAGGCCACTGAGCAGATAAATACAGAGTAGCCATACCATCAAAGGATACAGTGTTGGGGCGCCTGGGTGGCTCAGTTGTTAAGCGTCTGCCTTCAGCTCGGGTCATGATCCCAGGGTCCTGGGATCGAGCCCCGCATCGGGCTCCCTGCTCCGCGAGAAGCCTGCTTCTCCCTTTCCCACTCCCCCTACTTGTGTTCCTGCTCTCTCTCTCTCTCTGTCAAATAAATAAATAAAATCTTTTTAAAAAAGGATACAGTGTTTATCCAGAGAAATGCCGTTTTGAAAATAATTCATTATAGAGTTTTTTTAAAGGTTTTATTTATTTATTAGAGAGAGAGAGAGACAGTGAGAGAGAGAGAGAGAGAAGAACAAGTGGGGGCGGGGGGGGGGGAAGGGCAGAGGGAGAGGGAGAAGCAGGCTTCCCACTAAGCAGGGAGCCTGGTGCAGGGCTTGATCCTGGGACCTGGGATCATGACCTGAGATGAAAGCAGACACTTAACTGACTGAGCCACCCAGGTATCCCTCAATATATATTGATATATTGAGGGATATATAATATATATAATCGCTCATTTATAATTCTGTAACTATAAATAAACAGATGTACAGTATTGTAAAAAGCAAGGAAGGTAATTTGTAGAAGGAGGAGGAGAAGGAAGGAAAGATAAAGGGGAAGGGAGGGAGGAGAAAAAGAAATAAATAATAGGACTTATAACAAAGTACAAACAAAAACTATTTTTTACCAAGTCTTGTATACTGAACATTACAGTAGGCACTTGACATGCACAATCTCACATGACATCATAGTGGTAACAAAAGTTATACGGAAGCATTCTTCTAGAAAGATGTTTTCCTCATCTAAAAGTAAGATCTCCCCTCCATCGCTTCATAGAAGAATATGCTTAGTCAATATTTGTTGAATGAATGAGGAAGATGGGTACAGACTAGAAGAGAAAGAAAAACATGTAATTTTTTTCTCATCTAAAAATGACCAAGAGATTTCTTTGTGATGTGCTTCTAACTAAGCATGTCCTCAAAATGTATTTCATTTAATCTATCATTATGACCAGGCTATACATTTGAAGTGAGAGAGACACAAAGGATTAAAGCTGGGAAGCAAAAAAATCTTAGCAGGTAGGATGAGTTCCTGATTAAGTCTTCATTCCCTACTTCTTCCAAATCTGGCAAAACTCCTTACATAGAGGAGTTGCTCAGCAAACACTGGTTGGATGAACTTCTATGTCTTTAGTCCCTTACAGGACAGAGCCTGGCTCCAGGCAACACTCAATTATGAGGAAGGAATAAAGATCAACAATTCCATTCAACATCACCTCAAAAACTATCCCAAGGCCTATTTCATGTGATTCAACTAGGGGGCGCTGAACACCATCTT